CTATGATGAAAATTACAGGGCTCTCTCATCTTTTTAAGTGGGAGAACTTGCACAATTGGTGGCTGACTAAATACTTTTTTGCCCCACTGTATATTCAGAAATCTAATGCTGAACCATTATGTTTCTTCCAGAATGTTTCTTAATCTGTAAGTTTTACTTCTGAAGCTTGCTGGGAAATAAGAGCTACCAATATTTACAAATAATTCTCAGTAATTTGAGAATGATTTTACCTTGCTGCTGTACTCTAGAAGTGGAACTTCAACACTAGATCAAAAATAACAGGTATTTTAGTATATACTACAAGGTTAAGTAGAAAAATACAACAGCAGTTACATTTTCAGGATAGGCATACTCTACAACAAAAAATAATGTTGCCACCCAGGATAACAGTTATCAAGCCAAGTGAAAAAGTCTTTTATTAAGCTCAGTTCCAGTTGACTTATGTAAGCACTCATGCAGTTTTATTGGCAGAAATAGAGAAGTGGCCGCTTCAGGGAGATTCTATTTAACTTACCAGTCTAGAGTCTACAGCTCTAGTATTCCCTAGGGATCTTCCATCCAGATCCTATCCAGGCCTGATCCTACTTACTAAGTCCAGAAAATATTAGCCATGAGTTGCCACCTAAGACAGGCACCAAGGCAACTTGAGTTGTAAAAAGCTTATATTTAATTACTTAAACATTGACAATTTTGTAAGTATGCCTTACTATTTTCCCCACTGAATTACATAGATGAATATAACATTGCAGTATTTCTAATAGTCTTTGAAATTTTCATTATTTACAGAGGACAAATATATTTACCCATAATACATACAGATTTCTGTATCTTAAATCTATTACACCATAGCCTGCATCTTGTAACAACAGAGAACAAATCTTGATCTTCTTGTATGTGGCATCTTCAGGTTTTTGAAAAATCTTGTATCTTCCCCGTCATCTTAAGGCTGCATATATCCAGTACCTTCATAGGACTTTGATCATCCTCACTGCCTTCTCTAAAACTTGTTCCATTTATCTCAGTCCTAAAAGTGTGGCATCCAGGATTGGGACACAGTCATCATATCCCCTTGTTCACCATCAATACAATCTTATTTGCCCAAGATTCTCAAAGTACTGTACTGATAGCAGCACTCATTTCTAAAAGTCTATCACATGAAGGTCATGTGTTATGAATAAGTAAACAAGTTCTGCTCAATTAACTCAGGAAAAAAGGCAAGATACTATATGGACCAATTCCATCCACCCAGAGTTGAACATATACAATCTTAGGAATGAAGGAAATCTTATAAAACAATTGAACTATTCATGAATATTGATGGATACTATAAAGTCATCAATACAGCATTTTAAAAAAGCAGACCACGAAAACCAAGTTTCACATCAGTACTGGATTTGCATAAATTTTATGGACAGTTGACAGCTTGTCTCCTCCCTCTAGCCACTTTTCATCCTCAATTCTCTGTAATCCAATTCTACACAATATTATTTTGAAAAAAATGAACATTCGACAATTGAACGGGGTAGAGAACACAAATGTAAGACCCAAACTTTTGTGATGGCACATGAAACATGTTAGTTGGGTTTGGGATTATAGTGCAGTAATAAACAATTGTTTATTTAATAATTGTACCAAATATGGAGCAGTTTCTTAGAATTGTCTGAAATGTTGCTGTCAATTTTTCTCATTCTGATTTCAGCAGTTTAGCTGCATGATAGAAGTACAGCACTGTTTTTAAACAACATCAACATTTTTTTTAAATGTAATATTTATATACATTACTGCTCATACTTAAAACTTTAGCACTGTTGTTTCAACAACATGATTGTACTGAGTATAAGCAGGAATCAAAACATTAGCTGAAATAATCCAAAAGATAAATCTGATGCAACACCCCTTCCCTTCAAAGAAGTCATAATTACCTATGGATCAGATACAAAGGTTCATACAGAAGGATATCTATAGACTTACTTATTTTAGCTATTTGTATAACTCTGGCAGTGTTTGTAGACTGTTTTACTCTTGATTTAACCAACCTACAATCTCCCCTTCAATGAATAGTTGCCAAGTACTTCCCAGCTCACCTGGCTATTCTCTTTCCTCATAATGTTCAAATATTATCCTATAGCCAAGAGATGAAGGGGGTAAAGAAGTTTAACCAGCAAATTGAAAAGTCTGTGAACTCTCAAGAACTTTACAAATATATCAAAATACACATAAGTACTACTCAGTTGAACAGCTAATTTATATTAGAAATAAACAGGAGACTGAAGATGTTCATAAACCTTTTTATTCTGAAGTAATAAAAATATTGCCAGAAATGAATGTATTTAGTAAGCTATTCTGAATGACTCCATACAACAGATATGAAAAATAGAGTGAATGCCCTGACAACCAGAAAGTAAATATAATAATACTTAAGATGAACTCAGTCATTCATTCTTGATTCCATCTAGACTGACATTTATATATAAGTTACAAACTGATGTCTGCTGGAGATGTGGAAGGTTCTTCTTAAACTTCTGGAAAATGCTGTGCAGCACCTTTTAGAGAAAGCCCCTGATTTATACCAAACACATGATATTGTTGATAAAAATCTTACAGTTAATACTATCGAATTGATAGACTTGAGGTTAAAGATGAGAGTAAAAATATCTGTAGGTTGGTTACAGTGAAGATAACCATCAACATTATACTGAAGACTATTCCACAAAGTAATTATTTTTTTTTTTAGATAACAGGATATTAAAATTTACTGATCACTCATGATACATTGATCTAAAATGAGCCAAGTCTTGTTCTGGGAAATAAAATCTATGAGAATATTCAGTCCCATACTATTTTTTCAACCATTTCATTTGAAAACGTTATTTATCTGTAATCCATTTGGATTACTTTATGTGTGTGTATAATAAATATTAAAATTATATATTATAAATATATAAAACACATGAAATATCCTTATTAGAAAAATGTATTTATTTCTGGAAGTTTCTCCCATACAACAATGCATTTCACTCTTTAGACATTCAAAATTTTAGGGTTCTTCTTTGGTTAGTTTTTGTAAATGAATACAGTACAAGGGTATCAAGAAACGATTTTTTTTCCCAAATAAAATAAAACATACTGTTACAGTAAAACCACTGTACATCTTATATTAAGAAAACCGTAAGGTTAATATGGTGTCCCTCCCAATGAAGCTAGGATTCTTTTTCTCTCGTCTGCTGTAGGCATATGTGGTTTTATTCCATCTTGTCTTCTTTGAACCATAATCCCATGCTAGAAATGCAAACAAATAATAAACCATGATTAAATCCATTTTGCTGACAGCAAACAAGTATTTAAAATATTTACATACTACATATTTAGTTCAGCAAATCAAATAGTTGCTGTATAGTTGGAGAAGTCTTGCTCTATCAAAATAAACATGTTATCTCTGTCATCTAAAGTGCCTATCTTTGAAAGACTGATTCAACATCAATCAGTGGAATATAAATCACTGTTTATGATATGTAATCACCAATGATAGTTTGGAGATGGAACTTGCCCATTCAAAGGAATGTGAATCGGGAGAGTTTGCGCATGACAGAACGGTCCAGAGAGCATCATGCTTTGACTTTCTCTTTATATGCAGAGACACTGATTTATATACATGGACACTACTAGAATGAAGCCACAATGTGCTTAGGCCTAGAGGCCCAATGTCAATCTTCCGGAAGTGTCACTTTTTGCATAAAAAGGGAAATAGTTTGGTAGGTTCTAGTTGAACAGTGTGGTATAACATCAGAGTATGCTCAGCTAGTTTTTTCCACATGGAGTCAATGAATACTTTCACCCATAATGTTAGGTAAAGGAAAGACGTTTCTGGGCAAGTGGCCATATTTGGAATTCTGAGAGCATGTGATGGACACATTCACAAATGGCTACCACGGCAAGCTTGCCTCTGAACAAAAGGACTACTTTGGTCTCAAAGCATCCATTCACCAGAAGGAAAATTAATGAGATTACTCTCACCACCCTTATTTTCTTTTTTGAGTAGGTGAGAATATTTCCAAATAAAGCACTGGGATGCAGTCACCCACCATTCTTCATTTTCTAAGAATGACTAGGAGGATAGAAATATTATAAAGGACAGGCTAGAAAATGGCCATTTTATTTGCAACATGTCAGCTTTATTTTTGAAAAAAACAAAATACACAGACAAATCTGGAAATTGCTCTATGGATATCTGGAGAGCACCGAAGGAAGTATTTATGAGAGTGTTATCTATCATTGTAGATTTTTCTTAATATGAATGTGAACCTATCCCAAGAACAAAATGGTGGTTTACAAGCCACAGGAGGAGGATATGCACATCAAGCTAACTCTTCTCCTCCCTCTCACATGTAAAAAAGAATAATAAACAAATTCAGATC